AGTTTGGCCCCTAAGACCGTCATAAGTAGTAAACTGTTTTGCCGCCCTCGAGCACCTTAACAATCTTGGGTGGAGGACTTGTGGATTTGCTGCTCTTTTTCTATCCACTGCTTTCTAGAGCAGCCTCTGCATCTCGAATGTCTTCCCACTTCGGCAATTTTACTCCTACAACCTTACCAGTCCTTGGAGTTCATTCGTTGACAACTCAATAAAGAAAACTGCATCAGAATAGTGTGCCTCTTCTACTCCAAATGGCTTTTCAAACGCATTTATGGTTACTGTGCACTTTCCCAACTTTGCCTTCACGCATTGGTGATAACTTGACGGGATAGCCCCATGTCGATGCATCCAAGCTCTGCCAAGTATCATATGGTAATTTGTGTCTGCTTCAATCACATGGAATTTAGTTGCGGAATAGATCTCACCAACTGCTAAGTCCACTACAATATGGCCCTTAGTAACCTTTTTCTCACCACTAAATCCCTTTATAGTGATGGGTTGGCGAACCATCCTGGACTCTGGGATACCAGCCTTTGCAACGGTGTCAGTAGTGATGATGTTTATAAACACCCTACCATCAAGGAAAGCATGCTTGAACTCTACATCATTGATGTAAGCTGTGACAAAAAGAGGACGATTATGAGAAAATGGGTATGCTATGTCTGCTTCTGAAAAAGTAATGGCCCCATAATCTTCCTAGATGCGCCGAGACATATACTCCTTAGCCTCAGCAACTTCATCATGGTGCATTTCAGAATTGTTAATGAGAGCCTTTGTTGCTTCCAACCTGGTGGCTTGGTTCAGTCCCAGCTGGTCAAAGAAGGTGCGAAATTTAACAGATTTTTGCAAGGCCTAAACATGAGTATCCTCTGCGAATTTTACCTCTGCAGGTACTGTCTCAGGGAGCTGGCCGCTAGCAATTTCTTCTAACTCATCATAGTAGGACACCATGAGCACTTGATCGCGCACAGGCCCAAGGTACCCAATCATATGTACATTCTTTCCCTTCTCTTTGTGGTTAGGATAAGGGTCCTTCCTTACATCGCAATTACCGACATCTTTGAACTTTAGCTCATTTGCGTCAACTTTCTTCTTAAAGATACTTTTCAAAGTCCAACAGTCCCTGTACGGGGAGCAAATATTCCGGCAAGCCTGTACTCCTTTCTTCCGAGCTCCGTTTCTGTCCGATCACCTGCGAGCAAATAACGGTGAGCTACCCGACTGTGTGTGGCCGGAAAAACCCTTCGACGATCAAGTTAGCGCACACCTTAGGATAGAGAGAGAGAGAGGGAGGAGCGTTTGAGTGTAAGAATTTCCTTACAAAGTGTTCCTGTCCCGCGTATGGGGGGCGCAGACATGCTTATATACCCTTTTGCGCCCCAAATCTACTCCCATTGGTCTCTCGACACATGGCTCTGTTATCCCATCTGTCAGCACAAATCTTGCTATACATCACCTAACCCAACTGCCAGCCCACTCTGCTGGGATCACGGCAGCCGGGCAACATTGTCTCGGCTATCAACGGCCATACCGAACATGCCCAAGTGCAGTTGATGTCGTAGTTTCCTATTATCGGGCTTAATTCCAGCCATGCTCAACTGTATTCCGGCGAAGCTGAGCTGGAGATTGGTGGCGCCGGTCAGCCAAAGACCTTCTCGGCCAAGCTCCAAGCACAGGCCTTCTTACCGGGTTAAGGTGCGTGCATTACGACCTTGCAACGCGTGAGCCGGGGAGCCTCATCCAGGCTGTTCCTCCACCTGTCCGGCCTTCGCGGAACCGAGATCAGATAACTTGGTTCCACGTGGGCTTTGCCATTATCGAGCAATATCACGGCCTGATCTTGGAGCCCAATACCTCGGCCCAAATCTGCCCGGCTAACGTCACGGCCCAATCTCAGATCATAAATCTCCCTCTCAGTCCCTAATAGGGTATTTGGTGGTTCTGTGATAGATACAATAATCTGGGCTTTCTTTGTCCTTCTTGGTTAGAGGGACATTAACCGGAGGCAAAATAAGTTCATCATCAGCTACCCATTCTTTAACCAAGGCCTTAACATTCACAAGGCAGCAAGGATATGGATTTCTACCCTCATAACTCTTTCTCTTTCAAGAGGACGACGCCTCTGCTCGCGAGCGGCTCCCTCCTATAGAGGTTACCATAGCAACTCTGCTAATGTAGGGGTAGCGGTAGTTGTCACGAGATTTGTGCAAGGGACCAGTGGTACTGAGGTTCCTAGCTGCCTCAATCAAGGTTGAAAAGGTAGGCAGATTATGGTTCACCAAGAAAATTTTGTAGTTACGTATGGCACCCTCCACACATATGCTACTAAATGGGCCTCATCCACTGGTTCATGATAGTCAATAGCCTTATTTTGGAACCACTTAACATAGTCTAGTATATCTTCGCCTTCTTTTTGGACATCTCTCCCAAGTGTGAGGGTTGTAACTTTCTCTTGGACTTGGAAGAACTTCGTGTGGAATTTGTTCACCATCTCCTCTCAGCTTTTGATCTAGTTGGGAGCCAAGTTCACATACCAGCTGTAAGCCCTTTCAGTAAGTGATTTTGAGAACTCCCGAAGGCACAGAGAGTGGTCACTGCCATGGACACCAAGAGTTTTAATGAACCTCACCACGTGTTCTCTAGCATTGCCTTGTTTTCCATCAAACTTAATAAACTTGGGCACTGTATACCCAATTGGGTATGGAATGGTCAATATCTCCTGAGAGTATAGGGGTTTCACGTCTAGGTCTGGGAGAGATGGCAGTTGCTTCTTACTATGCTCTTGCTCGAGCATAGCTTGCACGTCGGCTAGGGTAACAAATTGAGTGGGTTGGAATGGTTCAGTCTGCTCCTGGGTAGCTGAACTAGTGGTCATACCATTCGCCTGAGGTATCACCGGAGGCACTTGGATCGGAGCTCGAACTTCAGGAAACAAGTTAGGCATTGGGTTTGGGATTGCTACAAGTGGAGGTGCTTGCACTGAAGCTGGTTTAGAAGCCATGGCCATAATAGCCTCAATAAAAGTTTCCAAAGCTACAAGGATCTCCCTCTGCGTATTCTGGAGTGACTGAACTGCTTCAATCACAACATTGTGGTCATGGTCCTTCGCAGGTGTTGCTCCTTCATTGGAAGAGCCTTGCTATTGTGGGGGTTACTAAACTTTATCCTCTGCCATCTTTTCCAGTGAAGTGTGTAAGCTGCTGTAGGAATGAACCATTAACAAAGTAGCCTCCCCCAGCAGAGTCACCAGAAATGTAGGGGGTTTAAGGTTAGAGAGGTGATTAAAGAGACAAAACTATGTTAATGGTCCAACAATGGTAGAAGTGGCTGGAGAATGAGTAACAGCGACTATCTAAGAGTTGGAGAGTGTGTAGTTGGGTAAAGGTGAAGCAAGTGGCTCAAGAAGAAATGTATGGCAATACCAAAATAGGCAGCAACTCCCCCAGATCCCCAAAATTTCTTTTCTTGAACCTTGGGAAATGGGTCCTATTTATAGGCTTTTCCTTGGTGCCAAGAGGACACCAAGTGGCCAAATAGAGAGAAGACATGTGTCCTAGAGGATTACATGGAATATTCTACCTTGAGCCACTAGGTTGAAGGTGCCACGTATCCCTCTACATGTATTGTGTACTATCTGTTTGTCTCCGCAACTACTTTTTTGAACCTTAGCAAGTGTAGTTACGATGGGAGTGTTTGGCGCTGCAACTCCCTTTTGAGCCTCAGCAAGTGCAGTTACAGCGGGAGTGTTTGCCTCTGCACTTGCCTTCTCAGTCTGAACCTCAGCAAGTGCACTTGCAACGGTGAACCTTGTGGCTGCACTTGCCTTCTCAATTCTATTTGGCCAGTACATACATTCTTAGGACTCCATTAGCCTGTTATCAGCTATGTTTGTGTTTTCCTCAGCGAAACCTCCACCCTTAGCCACCTAACCACAAACTCCCCAGTTTCCTAGGACGAAGGTTGCAGCCAAGCCTGCTATCAGCCATGCTATGCCTTAGTACCAAGCCCAAGGGGCTTCCTTAGTCCTGCCTGTGCGACTAAGGCAAGTCTATGACCTGGGTAATGGAAAGGGAGTCCCTTATGCTCGGGCTACCTTGCTTCCATCTTCGTGGGATCGCCGTAGTAAATTGGTATCTCTGGGCCTGCTATCAACTCCAACTAGCAAGTCTTGGGGCCTGCTATTAGCACCAAGTTAAATGAATTTTGTGGCCTGCTATCAGCCCTAGGCTAGTAATGCCTTGGGGCCTGCTATCAGCGCCAAGCGTTAGCCTCTTCTTGCAGAGGGAAGCCTCTCTCAAAGGTTACTATCACCTTGGCAGGATATTCCCTCTGCAACTTAGTTGCTGTGGTAATCATTTCCTGCGGCGAGTTCAGACGGCAGGACCGACAATATTAGAGATGGCGGCGCCGACAAAATGTCTCCGCAACTTGGGCACTGCAAGTACTGCTTTTGCAACTTAGTTGCTTCGGTTTTTTCCTTCCCTCAACAACTCTCGATAGTTGTGGTACCGATATTATTTGGAATGGCGGCGGCTCCGACATTACTTGAAATGGCAGCGCTGGGACGAAGTGACTCCTTAACTTGGCTGTCGTAAGTGTTGCCTCAGCAACTTAGTTACGTCTTCTTTTTCTTTCCCTTAGCGACTTCGAATGGCGGCGGAACCGAATATATTAGGAATGGCGGCGCTGAGGGAAAGTCTCTCAGTAACTTTCCCACAGCATATGTTACCTCTGCAACTTGACTTAGGCATTTTCTTTCGTAGAGTCCATTTGGACCCTTGGCAAGTTAGATCTGCTTCGACCCTATGTTGGCCCACTTCCCTTGGGCTTTAGCCCATGCTCCTTTTTTTATTCCCAGTCGCCTCTTTGAGATGACCTCAGTACTTAATTCCATACTTAATTTGGGGCTTAATTTCTAACCCTCTACGAAGTCATGATTTCCAAAATCTCTTTAGCTATGATTACCTCTTGTGGATATAACCTTTTAGAAGTTGGATTAATGGGAACAAAAAAAAAATGGCACTAACTCAGATCTGGCTTATCTCTCACTCACTCTCACTCTCTGTACTTATCTCTTCATTAGATCTATGAAGTTTGTCGAAGATTTGAAGGTTGATTCTTGAAGATTCGAAGGTTGATTATCCAGATTTGCAGTTGTCTCTTTCGATTTTGTGAGTTTCAATTTGTTTAAGTTTTTTTTATTTTTAATAGATTTTTTACATTCTAACTCAGATTTGGCTTCTCTTTTCTGATTTTTTGTTTTTATTAGATCTCATCGTTCATCAATTGGTCGATTATTCTACATGAAACTTGTTTGAGATTTGGCTTCTCAAATCTGTAAGTTTAACTTTAATTTCGGACATGTATATATGCATTTGTTTTGTATGAACTTAGATTTCTGATTTTTTAGACCTATTTGAGACCTATATTTATAAGTGTGAGTGTTTGTATATAAATTTTTGTGTATATTCTGTGAAATTTCTTGGAACTGGTAGCTTTGAGAATCAAATCTACTCTTGCATTTTCTGTGTCTAAATCATGTGTTTTTGGAATTATTGTGAAACCAATGTCTGATTAATATATATGAGAACAATCAACCATGATAGTGTGCCAATGTCCAGATGAAGCTTGAACGGATGCCTATGGATTCTATTAAGTGCCAAATCCCACTAAATAATATGCAAAGTTAGTTCACTTTAGCTGATAAATAACTCACAAAATTAATAGTTCACTGTAAAGCTCTTTGTGACTGCTTTTGGGGATCTAACCACATGAATCTAATTCCTCTCCTGTTCTAAGAAGGAGATTGATTGAGGTGGAAACTATTTGGTTCTGCTTATGAGGTGGAAACAGTTGTTTATTATTGAGAAGTAGGGGAATGGGTACTTTTACTTATGCTTTTTTATTATCAATTTTCAGCTTGCAAGATTCATTTCGTATTCTCTTCCTGCACATTATATACATTTTAGCTGTGGTTGCTAAATCAATCAATCAATCAATCAATCAATCAATCTCTCTCTCTCTCTCTCTCTCTCTCTCTCTCTGTTTTTTGTGTATACTGTTATATATATATATATATATATATGTATATATGTTGTTAGAATTGCAATATTACTTGGGATTTGCTCTTTATTTTCAATCATAAAAAGAAGGGAGCTGCTTGAATCTGTATTGTAAAAACTTAACTAATGGCAGAGTGGAAAATTTGAGACCTTAGTTTAGAATTTAATTTTGAGTATAGATTTGAGAATTTCTTGATTTGGTAAATATTTGAGTAAAATTCAATTTGGTGTAAGTTTATGTCAAGGAGTTTAGGGTGTTTTGAGTGTTTTTTTTTTGGGGGGGGTCTTTTTTTGATTATTTTTTTTAAATTCAAGTTTATTTTATTTTAGTTTATTTATTTATTTTTGGTTTAAAAGGAATTGGAAGTGATTGAAGTTTTTCTAATTAAAACAGTGTTGGGTTCATCATTAATTTGAAATATAAGAATAATATGCTTTTGGGTTCATCACTGATGCCACTCCGATTGTTAAGGACAAACTTTGATACTTTAATTCTGAATAATTTGAGTGTTATCTTTCTCTTTAATCTTCAGATAGGTGTTCTTCTTACTGGGGAGAATTGATGAAGATCAATAAGGCAGCAATAATTGGAAGTTTGAGTTATTTAGGAGTTTAAATCTGTTCATGAGTTATTTTCAGTATATCTATTTGTTTTTATTCATTAGCCTTATATATACATAGTGTTGGTGTATGAATTTTATTAGATTTTGGCATAATTGAAGTTATTAAGAATTTTTGTACCTATTTCTCTCTCTCTTTCTCTCTCTCTCTTTCTCTCTCCATTAGATACTCTCACCATCTCTTCTTGTCTCTGCTTCTATCCCCTATCTGATTCTCATTCTTCTTCTCCATTTTCTTTGTTGTTTCTTTCTCTATCTTTGCTTGTACTACATCATATATCTCTGTCGGTTGTTATCTAAATGCTGAAATTATTTTTGTACTTGAAACATTCACAATACATTGTGATTTATGCATGTAGGTTCAAAAGAGGCTCTTAGAATTCATACTTGCTACATTCCATCGATCTCTTGATTTTGTTGCACTTCTGAAGGTATTCTCTTGGCCAAATTATACCTAAAATTTTCGATTGCAAGTCAATTATATTGGAGCTTTATTGATTACTTACCTTATTATCATTGTCACCTGGTATGTCGAATGTAATTCTAGATCTGGAAAATGGAAAGTAGGAGTGCATATAATTTTTTTTTTTTTATTTATAAATTTTAAACAGACATGGAGTCGAAAATTTTGTATCTTTCATTTTCTGGCTTGTGACCTGTTTTCTTTGGTATAAATTTTACAAATTTATTTGAATAGTTTTTTTTTTTTGCATTTTTGTAAAAACATTTTGAAGGCATTTTTTTCATATGGAAGTGTTTTTTTTAAAAATATTTTTCATATCAAAATAGAGAAATGGTTCTTTAATAAATTTTTTCTATGTAAGAATTTCCAAAGGCACTTTCTCTAGTGTATACGTTTTTTCTACCTAATAAGTCTCATAGAGATGTTTTCCTATCTAGTGATCTGTAATATATTTGCAACTTTAAATGCTATTGATCGAATTTTCTTGCATAGAAGACTTTGATCATTTATTTTCTTCAGCGCTTTGATGATATATCTGTATTGAACCTTCTGTAGAAGCCTATAATTGACAGACTTGGAGAAGCTTATGACAGCCCCTGCAAAGGTCAGTAAATAATAATAATAATAATAATAATAATAATAATAATAATAATAATAATAATAAATCTAGAAGGATCTAGCTGTTTTCCTTATTGGTGGATGCCACAGTTACACATTGAACAAATCATTTCCACCACTCTTTTACAGACAGAGCTGGCCTTACAATTGTGTTGGGCCATTGGGGAGCACAGAGGGGGTGGTGAAATCTCACAAAGATGCAGCTCATAAACTTTTCAAGAGTTTGGAACTACTTCTGTATGAAAACCTTTCATCCATCCAGGTACATTTTATGTGACAGCCATAGCTATTTGCATTGTCAGAGATTTGTTTTATGATGGTTACTATGACATGCTGACTTCTATCGTCTCTTTTTGTTATTTGTTTGGCAGTCGTCTTGGTTGGGAAAGTTGCGTACTATAATAGAGAGAGATTACAATAAATTAATTTATAAGAAATGATATCCACCATCAATGATGAATTGATTCATGAAATGATTTGTAACCCTAGTTCATCATCCACCTATCAGTGATACAATAAATGATCTGTTGTGATGGTATGTTACCTATTATTTCAATGAACCTGCTATATGATTATTTGGGCTTATTCATGTTATTTGTTCTTGTCAAATGCAGGTTCACATATCAAAGAAAGGAAAAAATAAGAAGTAGATTTGACAAACTCAATGAAAGAAGAAAGTTGGAGAAATTCTCTTTTGGAGTAACAATTAAAGCATTGTCTTAGGAGTTTTTGAGTTGTTTTGGGAAAAGATTGAAAGCTGGGGGGAGGGGTGGGATGAAAAACTTATGTTTGGGTCCTATATTACAGTAACAGGTTGATGTAGTTGCATCTCTATTGATGGCTAATAAGAGAGAGCCCTAACAAGCACATAACTATTGGAAAAGGTGCTTCATATATGTGTGTGTATTTGATGCACATTACTCTTACATGTAACCTGACATTTTTTATTTTTCTACATGATGAAATTTTGAGAACAAAAATATAGCCTTCAGTTTTATGTACTTTGATTGGAAGATGACATTCAAATTACAGAAATTCTTTAGGAGGCCAAACTGCTATTCATTTATGTGCCTCATGGTAGTCCGGTTTTGCCAAAAAAATAAAAAATAAAAAAAGTGGCATTTTTGAAAAAACGCTACTAAATGACGTCATCCGTTAGTTTAGGATGGAAATTGAAACAGATGTCAAAGATTTTGTGGCTTTTTAAAAAACACAGTCTAACATTTTTAGCGACGTTTTTCAAACTTTGCAAAGCTATTGCGAAGGCCGTATCAGCGACGAAAATATTAAACGTCCACTGTAACTTTTTATGGTGTTTTTCAAGCTTTTAGCGGCGTTTTAAAAATGCTGCTAAAACTCCAATTTCCTGTAGTGTTTACATAAAATATGTGATGAAAAAAATGTGATTTCAAGATGCTTTTTACATGTTTAGGTTTTGTGAGGCCATGTGTGTGTGATTTTTCTACTTCTCATAATATTGAGGAGTTATTTACTAGGCTTGATCTACCATATGATTGTGAATTCACGTAATAGTATACAGATGTATGATCATATTTTCTTAAAAATATAAATAAAGTGATTATGTGTACTCTTACTATTGGAATGACACCGTTACTATTGGAATGACACCGTGTATATCGTACAAATCGAACCTACAATATATTTTTCTCTAACATCATATAAAAATCACATATTTGCATTGTTAAACAATTTTTTTTATTTTATTTTATATTTTATGCAAAAATAAAAATGCAATCAAATTCGACTTGCAAACACAATCCAAATATATTTAGGAGAAAGAAATATTTTAAATTTGTGTTGTCATGGCCAATAATAATGATATTTGCGTTAGCACATATTCCTTAAATTTGAACGTAGTAGATTACATTAAATTTTGATAATTTGAGAGTGAAATCTCAAATAAAATAAAATAGCATGAGATAAGATATTCTTACATTTTTAATGTTTGTGATAAACAACCCATAAATACTAACAGAGAGGCGATCAATAAAATTTCCAACAATGATAGCATAAGTGAGGTAATCCATCCATGTGTCCAATCTTTTTATTTGCTCATCATAATTAAATTACTTAAATCTTATTTTATTTTATTTTTTGACTTATTTTCCAGAGTTTGTCAAGGTAGTTTATTACTTGCATTTTTATCTTGATTGCATTATCTTCTTTTTATTTATTTAATTTCAGAATGGTAGCTGATGGAAACATATATCATTTTAACTCTTTTTGAAACAAAATAAATAAGTTATAATGCATTTGATTGTTTTGTTGTGCGAGGTATCATCAACTCCAAACCTTTAATTTATAGTGATGGTGAAAAGTAGCCTTTGAAACTTACATGGGCAGAGATGGTTTAATCACTAGATCACTTAATTTATCATTTAAGATTTAGGGGTTGTTTGGGATGATCTAAATAAGTGCACTTTTTGACTTTTTATGAAATATGGATTGGGTTTGGGTTGGGTTTGAAGTGATGTGTAAGAGAGGTGATGTGACTTAAATAAGATGATGTGACTTAAATAAGATAGTGACTTTTTGATTTTTTGTCTTTTTCAAGACATGCCAAACTTAGCCTTATTAAGAAAATTTCAAATGATTTTTATTATTGAAGGCCCTGCATTTGATTGTTTTGTTGTGCGAGGTATCATCAACTCCAAACCTTTAATTTATAGTGATGGTGAAAAGTAGCCTTTGAAACTTACATGGGCAGAGATGGTTTAATCACTAGATCACTTAATTTATCATTTAAGATTTATTAAGAAAATTTCAAATGATTTTTATTATTGAAGGCCCAAATTTTTAAAAATCATAATAAAGTAAGATTTTATTTTGATATTGTTGGTTTTTTGGTTTTTGAAGGTTAATATTGTAATTTTAAGCGTGCCAGCAAGGATCAATCAGTCCTTACAGAAGATTAATTGCCAATCAATTATCAAACGATTATGTTTTAGTTCTCTCAGCCTCAATGAAGAGGGCTTTTATTAGTAGCTTGTTTAGGAGAATTTGGTAAATAACAACAAGTGAAGAATAATTTCAGAATTTCATTGAGTGAAATGAAAAACATACAATGATCTAACCCAGTCTTGTAGAGGTTTACAACAACAAACTATTTGAAACTACTCCTAGGAATGAAGTGCAGTATAGGAATTGAAGTACATAAATGTAAAGAACTGTAAAAATTGGAAGGGAAAACAAAGTAAATAAACTGGTTTTTTGATCTGAGTCTAGATCCTTCATTTTAAGGCCTTCTCTACTATTTATACTTTTCATTAATAACCGTCGAAGTGGGCTTTCAACCGTCGAAATGCTCTCCATGATTGCTGAATATGCTCCTTTTCAGTCAGTCCCACTACGCCACTTCTTGCAGTTAAGCGTCCCTCCTGATTTTTGAATTTAAAGATATGAGTAACCATTGGGCCACATCATCTTGTATTTCTCCACGGATCCAATGCTATGCAGATCCATGATTACCAATGCCAACTACCACATGTTTGATTTCGATTGAAGACTTGAACTAACTCCCCATATTGTCCTCATCTTGCCACGTGTTAAGCTGTGATTGGCTTATACAAAATTTGTAGCCAACATTACTCCCCCACACTAATATACTCAATACTTGGTGATATTAGTGAACTAGTGCAATCCACCCACGTTCTAAGATGTGCATGGACTCTGTATATTCTGGTAGCATAACCGCTTTTGAGTAATGAAGCAGTGAACTTTATTAAATCCTTGTATCTTGCACTTTCATTCTTTGAGTAAACGAAAAGAGTGGTACATCGCTAATGGCCAATCACACTTTCTCCCACATTGATCGAGCATACGAGGAGTCTATGGAAGATGATTATAAGCCTCGAAAGAATCTCAATGCATTTATTGGTTACACTTATCCGCCTCCATTTATGCAAGTTATGAAAGCTTTTGCAACTTACCAACCTTTAGACCAAAAGTTTGTCAACTATGAACCCTTGGATCAAGCATTTGCAACAATGGATCTTGGAAACTCTTCTTCTTCTACCTCAACATCCTTTTCATGGAACACAACTACTTCTTCTTCTGCCCCACCACCCTCTGCATGGGACACAACAGTTTCTTCTTCCTCCAAGTCTACTAGCTGGGGAAATTGGCCAGAACCTGATGAATCCAAACTAAGAGAGCGAATTCACCATCGATTTGTCGAATTCGTTGATCCTCTGTCTATACCTCATTTTGCTCGGAGCTCGGTAGTCTACCCCTACGTACCCATTGATCACCAACGCAGTTTGGAGGACAACTTACTCGTGGCGTGGTACACATCTTCCATGTCTGCGAAGATAGTGTGAGCAACTCCTCGTCCAGAGAAAGCACAAGGATACAATCCGTCATTCTTAGCCAAGAAGGCAAAATTTTGCTCTTCTAACTGGCTTGAATGTGTGAATAAACTCTAGTTCCTTTCTTCCTTTGGAATGGACCTTCATGCGCCTCCTCTTCCTTAGAATCCTCATTGGATGGAGGAACTAAAACTTACTTTCTTCGAGAATCAGTTTCTTCCTTCCTACCAACCTCCAGATCTTCCCACTACATTTGAGCGATACCAAGCTCAACTTTTGCTTGCAGCTTTTTCTCACTTGGCCTTCAATGTTCTTGGAGATGATATTCCTCTTAAGAACTTTCAATGGGCCTGTGACATTATAACTCGGGGTCATGTCCTCAACCCCATTGCTCAAGCAGAACTTCAGATGTTTTTGGATCAGCTCTCGCTTTTTCTCTATTGGTACCAAATTTCTTTGGCTACCACTAATTCTTTGGACAAAATCTCGGCTCATCAAATTCAAACCCAATACGAATTAGAGAATCTCATTGACGATTATAATGACTTCATGAATAAGGATTCTGTATACTGGGATGATCTAGATATGGATGAGATGGAACAAGGATTGAAGGAAATGGAGTTCGAAATAAAAGCTGAATAACTTTTCCATCAAATAAGAACATATCAATTATAACAACCTAGCTTGGATAGGACAGAGGACAGAATAAAGAAGGAACATAAATTCATTGACCATTGCTAGGGCAAATTTCATGACCTTGTTATTCTTTCTATTCCTTTTTTTTATGAGATTGAATTTGTAGCCAAGAAGGTTTTCTAATGTAATTATTTTTATATCAATAAAGCTAGGTTTTCTTTCTTTATTCGACATGGTCTGGTTTTATATTTCAATTGTATGCTTGATTTATATGATTGTTGTGACTTAACTCCTCATTATGTTCAAAGAAGCTTCGAATCAACCAATTTTGCTCTGAAGCCTAACTCAAAAACTTCCAAAATGTGGAATTTTCTCTTAAGAAAGGTAACCTTTGCTTTACATTCCAATTATATGGCTAACATAGTCTGTCTTTGTTTAACTAACAGCTTCGAATTAACCAACTTTGTTTCGAAACACTATCTACATGGTTCGAAGTATTGAATTTCCCTTACCCCGCTTACTCCTAAAGAGAGATCTTCTTTTGAGTTTCTTCACTACTTGACCAAATACTGGTTTTGTAATGTTTGTTTATCTTGAAGTTCAAAATATCAAGCATGAACCATGTTTCTACAAAAAGCTCCTTCGAAGGACTTCATCCTTCATTGAAAACCTAAAAGCATGCTTTTAAGTTTTTCGAACCAAATTAATCCCAATCACTCTTGAATTTGGGACATGATTCTTGTTTTGAAGTCAATTGCTTGCTCCTGAAATCGTTTGACAATCAGGCTTTGAAGCCAGCCTCTTATTTTAAAGACCTATAGAGATTTTGAAGCCAACTACACTTTGTCAAGCTGGGTACTCAACATATGTTTCCCTCCAGAAACTTTTCTTCATTTTAAATTTAAGACCCTCCATATTTTAAAATAAGGGTTTTAATTTCACATGGACCCAAACCACAAAATAATCATTTCGGATCCACCTGACCCACTCAACTTGTTTGGGTAACTTTTGGACAG